GTAGAGGACTTATCCCCGTATTCAGCCTTTTCTTTTCAGTACAAAAGCCCTCCTCGCTTTCTTTCTCAAATACTCCTTTTTCAACTTGACGCCTTATAACTAAGTTCTCTTGTACAAATCCCGCTACAACAAAACGTTCTTTTTGTTATATAACTTTTTTTATAAAAACAAATTCCCAACAAATTTCACGATGTACGCCTTGGAAAGGGGACGCGGTACGAGAAAATCCCACTCTTTTTTTTTGAAGAGAATGGGCCGAAACACAGAATGTAGCTAACATTTTATACTTCAACCATACAGATATCGAAGAGTCAGGCTGGTTGTGCTCTGCGAAGGAATACCTGTCTGGATGGTCTATAGCCTAGAATTAAGAGGGCGATATGATTTTTATAAAGACTGAAGGCTATCGGGTGATATATCTGGAGCAGAATTGCGCCCCCGGCGGCGCTTATTTTAAGAAAAGCGATATTGAGGTCGAGTCCCGCGACTCCGACGCCCGCTTTATAGTGCTTTAGACTACTGGCAACTGCGACCGAAACCAAATGGTGGAATACGCGCGCTGCTGGGGCGGGTACGAGGTCACCGAGAGCGAGAAGAAATGGTATCTGAATGAGATAAATAAACATTCCTAGCTAGACTACTATCTTAAATCCAGCAGAAGGTAATCAGCGCTTTTATCTATAGACAACAATCTAATATATCTTTTTCTAGAAAAATATCTTTCTACTTCAATATTCTTAAACCTTTAGAATTCCAGAGTTTGAGATAATGAAGAGGATATATTAATAATAATAAAAGAGCCGTTATCTTTTTTAAAGCTTGTGCTGGCGGGGCTTATAATATATTAATTATCTATTACAGTCAGTATTTATTTACTACTTCAGTATGTTATTGCAGATATCAAGCTCAAGAGCCTTTTACATTGTATTTACAATTAGCTGATAGCTGAAGTTAAGGAGTATATTATGGACAGTTTGATGAAGTTCTTCAGGGGTAGGCTCAGGAACGATTCCTTGATTTTTTGGTGGAGTGGTTCAACCAATGGTTGAAGGTGTAACTAACTGAGTTCTTAATATATACAAATATGGTTGCCTGGAATCGCTTTGTATCACGTGGCAGGATTACTAATTATTGATATATAGTTAGTTATGTTTTCAGCAATACTTATATCTATTTATTCCATTTCTTAGAATTCCCCCACAACAGCCTAAGTATAAAATATCGAGACAATGATTTCTAAACTCTATGTTCTGTAGTCAGGCTATATCTAGCACTATCTCATCATTATGTATAATTATCTCTGACGCAAGATGCTCTCTAATGCTTTCATACTATAGACAGAGTAGCCGCTGTCTGTCAGAATATCTTATCTAGTTTTTAGAATAAGCGACTACCAACTTCATTCTTAACCCTTAGAGGAGATTTTTTATCTTACACATATATCTTACTTCTTACAGAATAATTGAAGTTCAATAAATCTTGTTTACTCCGTGCTGCACTCTATCCAGGACTATCGGTATAAAAGTTGCTGTTCTTCTACAATCATATAGAAAACTATCAACTATTGGACGTATCTTTATTCTGATATTTAGCTACTGCAATGATAGTGAAGAAGAATTACTCCAGAGTTCCGAGTCTATATCATTTTCAGAATGGTCGAAAGATTATAATTAATAAAAGAATAGAATAGAGTCGCTAATTAGAGATATAGAGAAACTTCTTAGTTCTTCTAACTTAGCCCAGCTAGAGTTGATATTCCTATAGATAGGGATAGGCCAAGTTCAGCCTATATGATCTGGTAGAATCCCCCCCGTCATTTTCAGCTTATTTAGTGCTAGCTGATTGGGACCACGGCTATCAATAATGGAAAGGTTGTGTCAACAGCAACCTTTATATCTTAAAGTCGGCGAGTAGATGTAGCGTAGGTAGGGAGAAGAAAAGGGGCCGTCGTCGAAGACTATCTTGAAATCTTAAGTAGCTTTATAAGCTCATATACTCGTGCCGATATAATATATATACTGAGTTAAACATGTCTATTATAAGTCTGCTGTGCTAGCAGTAATAGTACTGGATTTCACCATCTAAGGACTGGTTCACCGTCGGAGACTGATTTACCGCCTGGGACGAATCTACTGCCAGAGTCGAATTCACCGTCTTATGGACGCCCCTCTTAAGGCAGTAAGAATGAGACTCGCTGCTTAATAACGTGTCTTTCGTACAAGCGGTACAATTTTTATGATAAATACTGTACCGTACTAGTTTTTTCTTACGCCACACAGTGGCTCAACTAATATCCTTATATGGGGCTTCTAGATAACAGATGGGATTGTATTAGAGATAGATAATACAGAACAGTACAGTGTTTGTTAATTAGTTGACCGGTCCTCACGAACAATAAACAATTTCTATAGCGCACAGCAGGCGCGTATAAAAGTTCATCGAATGCTAGGATCTATGCTAATGTTATATATAGCTAAAACCGAACCGAACTCTGAAAAGGGTTTAGCTCGGTAAGTACTTCTACTGTAGTATAATCAAAGATCAAACCATAGGCCGAATTTTAGTTGATGCTGACAATACCTTTTATTATAAGAGACGATAACTTAAGATATACTGAGGTTAAACTTGACTTTTACTTAAGTTTAGGAAATTTCTTAGCTCGTAGGCGGTAATACGAAGTCTTTCCAGGACCGGAAGACACCTCTTTTTCAACCACATCTCTCATTCTTTTTTACCTGAGGGGTCAGATTTAAATAATGCTTAAATAAGGAATTTCCTGTAGACTCAGCAGGCTTTAATAATATATAAAAATCAGGCTCGACGTTTCACCAAGGCCTCTAGATCTTATAGTAGAGTGGCTAACGGCCAGGTCAGGTCAGGTTAATTGGAATTTTTATACCTGACCGCCAGGTTATGGCCAGGTTAAGGAAATTTTTATACCTGACCGCGGTATAGCTAAAAAAGGGACGGTTAACCGTCTTAACCGTTCTTGGCGCCAAGACCTGCCCGCTATACCTATTTGGGCTCTAGCACGGTTAAGGTATATCCAGGTTAAGCGGTTATTAACCTGACCATCTTAACCGTTGTCTAAAAGTATATAGAAACAAGCTTTTTAAATCAGAAAAAAATAACTAAGAGAAGTATTAGTATCTTCTTTATCTCTATCTTAAAGAATTAATCAGAGAATCCTGATGGTGTTGACAAAATTCAGCTTTTTATAAAATTATGGTTCTTACAGCGAGAAACGCATGTAAAGATATATAATTACAGCTCGGTTTAAGCCGTACACCTCAATCACAATATACAATATCAGAAAAACTGTATATTTACCAATAATTAGACCACTAAGAATAAATATACTGTTTTTATTCTACTACTCCTCTTCTTACTTCAGCTTAGATAGTCTATTATATCCTTATTTCCATCTAAAAGAGCTGAATTATCTGTATAATGGGTTGAACTTGAAGAGAAACCCGCGCAACACTACCTACATGGTCTTTCTCGGCAACCGTACTTCCCAACAACCACCTTATCAAATACCAGGTACTGTGAGGGCAGTCCACCATTTTTACCCTTTTGACCCAGTTGACCTCTTTTACCCTTTTTACCCAGTTGACTTTTTGACCTGTTTGACCTTTTTGACTCTAAGCACCCCAGAGACCTGCTATTAATTATGCTGACCTTGCTTTGTTTGTTTAGTTTGACCGACTCCCCCGCGTAATGATAACACACATCCCGAAGCCTTCCTGCACTTTCCCCCTCTTTCCTTCCTCTCTCCATGCTTAAAATTCTTGTATCTTAGCACCAAATGGATTAGTTTTTAATCATTTGAACAGCTCTTACAGATACTGCATCTTTTATAGAGGGTTCTATATAAGCCTTTTTCAGGCCTTTTCTATAAATATCAGAGCGACCTGACCAACCTAACCAATCTGACCGACTGAAATGAATAAGATGCGGCAGGCGCCTTAGCTGTGTTTAAAATATGATAGATCACATTTACGCGAAAGCGCGTCTTAAAGCAAAACAAACTGCCTTTGCAGAATTTTCTACTTTTTCCTTTCTGTATCTATTATTTGCAGAGTAGTCTTAGAACCATAAGTCAATTACAGTCATCTGGCTTATTTTCAGAGGATACTATCAAGCCCTCTTCTTCTATTTCTCAGATATTTACAAACCACAATAATGCTCAAACTGAGATAAGCTTCTCAAGCCAGATCTTTTCTCCTCCCCCAAATCTCCAGATTACGCGCGTTGCAAAGAATCGGAAGATTGTTCTATATCCAACTTGCAAAGAAAAGTGCTCTACTTTCCAGGATTGGTGGCAGGAGACAACCTTTTCTAAAGCCCGTACGCAAGCTCGAAAACCACTATTTCACTTCGGTCGGGAGAAGGCATCAACAACCTGGGACAGCTTTCAAGAAAGGTGCATTATTCCCCGATAGAACCCCTTACATCTACTGTGTTGCCTGTCTTCATATCCTGCAACACCCGGGAATTGAAAACTCAGAAACTAGTTCTATAAGCTACCATCTTCGCAAGGGTTGTAAGAAGAAAACACCATTAGTAGTATCTAAGCGAACAATCAGTCAGATGCTGAGTGAAGGGCCATTACAGGTATTTATTTGTTCTTTTAATATAAATCTTTTCTAATTGTTATTTTCTCTAGGCCTCTACAGCCTACAATAAACAGAACTTTCAGGATCAAGTCCTATGCTTTATAATTGCCTGTCGCCTACCATTCCGAACTGTCGAGCATATTCAATTCAAACAGATGATTAATCTTGCAGCTTTATCTCCCTGCCGAAAACCAAGTCCTCCCAATCGAGCGCAGATTAAAGAATGTCTCTTGGAGTTGTCAAAAGATATACACACACAGCTGTTATCAAAGTTCTTAGATACTGGACGGATGTCGATTGCAGTAGACTGCTGGACCAGTCCTAATCAGAAAGCATTTCTTGCTTTGACTGGATATTTTTTAACAGAAGATATGGATTACCATGAAGTTCTACTGGGCTTCCGACCGGTATCTGGATCTCATACTGGTGAGAATCTAGCTACAATTGTTCTATTAGTCTTGCACAAACACAACCTGTCCTATCGGTTGTTAGGTATAACAACTGATAATGCTAGTAACAATGGTTCAATGTTTAGTACAATCTCATCTGAACTCCGGACTCAGCTCAGCCAAAGCACCCAGCTTCATAATGCTTTACTCAACCCCGACCTTACAACAATTATTCAAAGCCAGCATCACATACCCTGTCTTGCTCATGTAATTCAGCTTGTGGTTAATACTCTTCTGCGGAAACTTCAGATTGAGGCCTCAAACAGTACTGTCGAATATATATGGGAGAATTGTGATGGAAGTCTTGAAGCCTCTTCTGGTATTTCAAGAACTCTTAAAAAGATATATCCTAGGAACCATCTGTAAAAGACTAATACAGAGAGCCCCTACCATAGTAGAGACTATCTGAATTAGTCTTTTACAGACGGGTCCTAAAGGTCTTCTTTTAATAATAGCTAATAATACTAATTCTTAATTATAGATTCGGAAGATTGCACGATTTGTAAATGCAAGCCCTCAACGCCGTGAAAAGTTCCAGCTTACTCAACGACTCGAATCAGGCTCGGTCTACTACCTTCTTCTTGACTGCAAAACTTGCTGGAACTCAACCTATCTTATGATTCGCCGGGCACTTAATCTTCGTCAAGCAATCAACAGTTTTATTCAGCACTGTGATTATGGTAACATTAATCATCTTTGCCCTACTACAATTGAGTGGAAACAGATGGAGTATCTTCTTAAGCTTCTATACCCTTTTTTTCTTTTCACATCGTGTCTATCTGAGAACAGTGGGCCTACTGTTCACAAGATCTATGATATCTACAACAATCTTTTCGATCATCTGGATCACTCAATCAACCGTCTGGTAAGAAAGCGGGCACCCTGGAAGAAGGAGATCCTTGGAGGCTTGCAGGATGCACATCGAAAGCTCTGAAAATACTACCATCGTACCTACCAGGCAGAAGGCTATATCTATGCAATTGCAACTATTCTGGACCCGATGTCAAAGCTTGAGAAGTTCAAAAAGGATGCCTGGCTGGATGATGATACTGACTGGTATCTTGAGTACCGAACTGTTTTTAAGAAGGTGTTCTATTTCTATTGCAGTCAGAATCCGGCTATTAATACACCATCAACTATCTCCGGGTCACTGTCAGGCCTGGATAAAGCCTTTTACAACATCTCTAAACGCCGGAGACTCTCACCGGCAGCCGAGACATTTAAAGAACTCAAGGCATATCTAGATATCGAAGGTATGTAGCTTATCAAAATACCTTTGATTAAACTGACACTGTTCTAGGTACTACAGGGCATACTGATATTCTTACTTACTGGAAGTCCCGCCGTAATCAGTTTCCTATCCTCTATCAGATGGCTAGAGATTTCCTCTCAGTTGCCACCAACGGTGTCAGTGTTGAACGTCTACTCAATAGTTCTCGAGATATCTGCCACTATCGCCGGAGCCGTCTCCATCCTGATACAATTAAAGCAGTAATGCTTCAGATATATACTGATCGTTTTACTATCAGTAAGAAGTACCAGGATATTCTTAATAATCTCAATCCGGATTCAATCATCTTCACACCTAAGAAGCAAGAGGAGGATGAGGTGATTACTACCTTCTATATCAGTGAAAATAAGGATATAGATGATCTCGAAGATGATCCAAAAGATGGATCATTATTAGAAACAGGGGAGCTAGCTTTACCTGAGTCTTCGAATATTACACGTACTCAGATAGAGATAGAGACCCGGCCTTCTCGATTTCTTCGCCACCATAATCATCGTCCTGGACAGTATAAAGAGTAGTATAATCTTATCAGTTTATTTAATATCAGATTTCATATTTCTTATACTGGATTCTGTAAATGCCTTTTTCAAAGCGCAGTATACCCCTCGGGACCACAGGGGAAGAGGTCGAGCAGGTCGAACAGGTCGAACAGGTCGAATAGGTCAAATAGGTCAAATAGGTTAAATAGGTCAAATAGGTCAAATAGATCAAACAGGTTAAACAGGTCAAATAGGTCAAACAGGTCGAGCAGATAAGCTAAATCTAGATAACATTACCATACTGTAATTAAAAGTATATTACACTTTGTATATTATCTGTATAAGAGGGATATATATATTACCAATTAACCTGCGGTTATTAACCTACCCGCTATACCTGACCTTCCTGACCGGCAGGTATAAACGGTTAAAGTGATGGTTGTACCTTAACCTGACCGTAACCGTACGGTTAAAATTTTTTTGTACCTTAACCTGACCGCCAGGTTATGGCCAGGTTAAGGTTAAGGTATAACGGTCAGGTTAATCCACTCTATCTTATAGTAAAAAAGCTAAATGTAGGTTCTTTATGCATCTGATCGGATTCTCTTATACACCGATCTTCAATAGATTTAAATTCTAAAAGCGTAAGTAACTCCGCTGAAGAGATGATGTTTGCCGGAGTATTAATCAGCAGTTTAATTATTGAAACTGGTAACTAGATATTAGTATTATTATTGTTGCGGGACGGAAGGATCGTGTTGATCAAAACGTGCCTTAGAACAAGAAGAAATAGCTGGAAGGCTATTTCATCTGTTCGTACAGAATTCTTTTATGTGTGCTAGGCTAGCGCTAGTTCGGTACGTAGCGTGCAAGGCCTTAGGTACTAACTGGTGCCTCAGGCCGAGCTTTATACTAGGGCCTTGGTCCCATAACACAAATAAACAAGTTTTAATATTTTTAATACAGTCAAATATTATAAGATCTAAAAAGATAGTAGATAAAAGATGTATAGATCTTAAATAGTTGTAGAATATTATTGACCTGTAAGCGAAGCCTCTTGAATAACTTTGATTAGAATTTGAATTAATACTATTGGTGTTTGAGAATATGTCGATATTAGAAAGATAAGATTAAACATAAAATAATTATTAAAATAAGCTTAATATTTTTTAAGAATTAGAAAAATAACGGGCACGCCGGCAAGACGAAAGTGAAATATATGATATTAATAGTACACATTTTGTTTAGATTATATAACTAAATTATATAAATTTAAATAAGGACTCAAAGTAATGGTTAGCTTCTCTAGTATTTATTCCCGGAGTAATCTGAAATAGCTTAAAGATTGCTCAGGACACATACTTCTATGCTCCCCCCATACTCCGGGCCGCTCAGTGATTAAAAAGCGGCACCAAGTTCGACCTAAAGCGGAAAGGGAAACTCGCTGGATTTCTGCGGCAATCCAGTTCGTTAGTTGAAAAATATCTTCAACTTTTGTGTTTGGATCACTGTTAGGATCACATAAGAACTAGTAGGGCGTGCTGGGATCATCACGTGGAACACGGAGAAGAACCCTGGCAAGCCCGTTGGTCACGTAGGAGTACTCGAGCCCTTCTTGAATCATAACATGATACTCCTGGACAAGGGCAGAGCAGACAAGTCGCTCTGCATTGTACCTCAGCCTCGCTTCCTGGTTTGTCGGTATTTTGTTTGATCTGACCATATCCTTCCATAACTCCATTGGTCGGAGCCCCATACGAAGGGTGGCGACAGAAAGTTTGTGAGGCGGTTTATACTCGACAGAGGTGAGGAGAGTGGCAGTTTTGCCGTCGATATGATGAATACAGAATTGATTAGGTCTTGGGTGGTGGACACTCGACACTTGGCTTGCATCCGCTTCAAGAGCCTCGTTCTCGTTTAAGAAATTCGTATGACTGCTAAACTGGATTCCGTCGCCGAGGCCGAACTCGTCGCGAGCAGCGGGTAACTTGCACAACTCGGTAATTATGTCGTGGACATACTCTTCCACGGCAAATCGCTCATAGGTCTTGAGTTCTTGCTCGCTGCTTATAGACTTCCGACAAAGTCGTCGGCCTAGTCCTTCTAGCTCATGCAAAGATGAGAACAAATGAGGCGCTCCCCCAGGTGTCAATTGAAGGTAGCTGTAGGCGGACCTGTAAAGCTCTGACTGTAGTGCTGAGCAGTCGGCCCAATGTTCCAATCGTTTTGGGCAATATTTCCCCGTGGAAACGGGTATTCAAATATAGCTTATAAAAAGTATTCTTTTATAATGCCTGAAGACAACGAGAGCTACCTAAGGTTCCCAAGTCACTAAGGAAGGTGGTGCGACAGAAACGAGATCGGCAGAAGAAAAGCCTTATATATAAGGCGTATGAATACAGCAAGCTGTGCGACGCCGATATTTGCCTCAGCATTCGCATTCGAGAATCAGGTCAAGTGACCACATTCCAGTCTGATTCAACAGGATTTTAGTCGGGATTCTCATCTCATTTGGTAGGTAATTTCTTGCGTGGTCGCTTTCCGTCTTACAAATACCAACTAGGAAACATATTATCCACGGCCGGTACAGAGGACAGACAAGGATTTTGACAAAACCCCTGCTGGTGAAAATGCAGATAAGAAAGACGCAGTCAAAACTCGAGAAGACAAGGCGATGACGAAAGCATATATTAACGAATTGTCTGTGTTCGACAAGCACAGTGCTAGATGACAGCCGACAGCCCTCTTGAGCAATGAATTGAGTATAGCCGAACTGTCTGCCAGTTGTGCTCGATCGATGTTGATCGTGATCTTCTCATTCTCTCTTAGCATAAATAGCAAGTTTTAGGAGACCTGGGAATAAAGCCTTGACATTTGGATTTGTAGTAGTGCAGCTAATATAGCTAGATCTTGTCTATTAAGGCCTGGTCAAAAAACCAAAGTGTCAAGACATTCCCGCTGCATCTCGGCAGTGAGTCGCACTTTCACTTGGTAAGCAAGTCCTGCTGTATGAGTCGGCTAAGGACAAATCTAATGATTTGGTGTCCAACAAAAAGGTGCCCAGGGGGTACTGTAATCTGAGTGTCCTAACGAGACACTGACGGCGATCATCTTACTGAAGAACTAAGACCTTACCTACTTTCCATCTCGGAAGCGAATACTAAATTTCAAGGAGAAAAATAGAAAAGAGAAGAAGACTGAATATCTGATGCTACTACTGTTTTTTTCCTTTCTCCTATTTTCCAGATGTTTTCTCCCCCTCACTGCTGCAGCTCTTTACTTTGTCTCAAATATGGCATGTTCTGGCTCCAATCTTCCATTTAACATGTCACAGTCGTCACAGGATAACTGGTCGGATCCCCCGACAAGCGGAGATGGCCCTCCCAAGTGCCTCCATGGGTCATGGTACAGCAGCCGCGCACGGCGCCCATGGTACTGAGAGTGGTAGCACACTTTTCCGTCGCAGAACGAATCGTTTTTAGCTCTGCAGTCGTGTCGCAGTTGCTGCCGGTGGTGGAGGCTTTGTAGGCATAACCCTCGGTGTGGCTGCCATCCGAATCGACGCCGTAGGTGATGGTGCAGGAGTTGGCATCGGACTTGGATTTGATCACCCCAGCGATGTACTCGTAGATCGTGATCGCGGAAGCGGCGGTGATAATGACTTCGGAAGTGACCTTGGCCACTGTGTACGCGGCGGCCGTGGTGGTGATGCCGGTGCGCTTAGTAAGATCCTCAATGGTGGTTATATTGTCGTAGAGATACGCGTAGTCGGCATTCACCACATCCATCGAAACCGTCAGGTTCATCCCGGGGCTGCTGTCGGAGGATTCGATATACGAGGTTACAGTGGTGTTGTTTGCAAGACTCGAGCCCACAAGGCCAAGTGCGAGCACACGAGGAAGTACCGTGCTTGGGGAGACCATTCTCCGGTGCGGAAGCGGACGAGGAGAGCAAAGAGGTCACCGAGAATCAAGCAATACCACGCCCACTGCATATCCTTTCCGTGACAAAAGAGGTTTAAGGAAACGAGGGATGTACTTGGGAAGGGAAGTTTGAGGAGGTATACTGAGATGTAGCTCATAGTCCAGGGTAGCGGAAGATGCTTCTATTTATAGTGCAATCTGTTAGGCCGACTTCCTTTTGCAGTTTTTCCTTTTCTTGCTCTCTGCTACTATGGATCTTAAATGGTGTATCCCAACCAAAAAGCTACTCCATTTGTCTGGCCAGCGCCTAATGATTCATCCGGAACCCAAGTGCTGGTTAACTTACGATTTATAATCACATAATGACTAGCCGGGGTAGAGCGATATGGCAAGAGCAGCAAGCGCCACGGTTTGTCGGACAAAGGAGAAGTGCAACAGCTGCAGTGCTATCTTTCGCTAAGTTGCTAGTAGCTCGCGTCGTCAAATCACGTTGTTTCTCGGAAGAGCCCGTGCATCCGTGTCAATCTCGACCCACATTAGGCAACAGCGAAACAAGCTCTAGAAGTTAACCCTTACTTAGGAAGCTTTTACTAACTTGGCTTCTTCAAGGCTACGTACCAGGTGTAAACGTGCGCGCTTGATCTTGCTTCTGTTTTTTCTTGGGTCGCTCCTCCTAGACTTTGCTATAGGTTTACTTTAGAGCTCACTTGCCCAGGCAACTGCTTCTTAAACCAATTGTTTCTATAGTGAGCGACAGAACTGCTGATACCAATCGAGTAGGAACATGAGCTACTAAGATTAATGGATACGAGTGTTTCATTTCTGGCTGGTGATTGAGGGTGAGTAAGGCAATCGACGGTGATCGCGGGTAAGTATAAAATTGAAGTGGGTCCCTACCTTCCGGTCTGTCCCTACTCTTTGATCTATCCCTACTCTTTGGTCTGCGTCTACTCTTTGGTCTGCGCCTACTCTTTAGTCTGCATCTACTCTTTGGTCTGCGCCTACTCTTTAGTCCATCCCTACTCTCCTGTCTATTCCAACCTTCCAGTCCGTTCCTACTCTCCAGTTCGTTCCTACTTTCCTGTCTGTCCCTACTCTCCAGTCTGTTCCTAATCTCCAGTCTGTTTCTACTATTCAGTTTATCCCTACTTCTAAGTCTGTACCACCTCTGCAACTCATCAGATAAGGGTAAAATAAAAGTCATTACATCAACGTAGAAGCTATAATAACAATTAGCAATTTGGTTGCTGCGGGCGCCCGCTCTATTACTCAGTCTTAATAATCAAAATATACAATATCTTACTAGATAGAAACATACCAGAACAAGTATAGACGAATCTTGAGTCCTTAAGTAAAGAAAACAATCTAGAGAATAAACAATTCCTTAACCAGCTGAAAGCTGCCATGGAAAAGCTACAATAGCACTAATTAAAACTGTCTTTCCCCGCCCGTACTACCTCCAGAGGTGCTAGACTAGCATTGGTACTTTAAATGCTTGGGCAAGCAAAATGTATCTGAGAGCTCTGAAGGGAAATGGAAGTACAATATATATCTCGTCTTCAGATTAATGTCCGTATCACATCAGTATCGAGACGCCTTCGAAGTCTGGTGCGACAGAGCTGATTTCGGATCGCAGCGTGGCTTTTATGTAGATATACCAATGACTGTGTGGGGACACCAGCCCAATGTTGGAATGATAACAGTATACGTCCGTATTCTTTGTCTTGAAATAATACCTGACTGGTCTGTATTTCTGCTGTATGTAGGTATCAAGCCACATCATGGCGCAGTATCGACATCACGTTACCAAAGCATTCCCCCTGATCAACACAAAGGACGTTTGTCGCTCTGTCTTCGTATGTGGTCGCAATGGAGAGCCCCTCTTGGACTTTCCGATTTTTATTGATTGTCCGCCAAGCGATAAAGAAATTAGTACATGCAAATTTGATCCCCTGAAAGTCTAGATCTTGCGAGTGTCCAAAGAGGGGCTTTTCTAGCTGATACATCGGACACCTCCAGAACTATTAAGAATCTTGTAGATAGTCAACTACATATCTTCGCTGTGCTTCAGTGTTTGCTTGGACGTTACAAGCATTTACCAATAATCAATAGTAACGGTAAGATAGTATATCACGAATCCAACTTATCGGCCACCTGCATAATTCGCTCACTACCAACGGATACGACCAGCACCCGCGTATTTCGGGCACTTGTAAGCTAAGTATCGCTCAAACGAGCACCGAAACAATTTTAAGTTATCCGAATTCGCTTGCCATCAAAGCTCATATTGGCAATAGACATCAAACTATTAGTGCTATCTGCCGGGGACTGGTTTGACATTTGATTCGCAGTACTATATATAAAAAATCTTCGATCTTAAGAAAAGGTATGAGATTAAAGAGTTAGATACAGTGCTATTACGTACAGAGCCTCCGGCAAAGTGGTAGAGTGGTTCTTGCAGGCTTATATATAAATATATTAGAGGGAAATTGTCTCAGCTATTGAATGTCAGTCCTTAAATAGATATATTTCTTCTATCTATGAAGAATACAACTAAATGTGACGATGCTCGACCGGGTCTGAAATTGCCCACCCGAATTCTGTGAAACTCAACAAGGATCATGCATTTCTTTGTTTGCTACGACAAACATGATGACAAGCACATCTCCCAAAAGTATTTTTTAGATTTCTGATTTTTTTTACCGGGTTGTGCTCCGCAATAGTCCGTCGTCGCCTATTAAAGTATCTTAATGTTCTTTGGTCTTCTTTTAACTTTTCTTTAACTTTTCTTTGACTTTTCTTTAACTTTTATTTGACTTTTTTTTTTAAATTTCTGACTTCTCTTTGACTTGCCGTCGACTTTATTTTGACTTTTATTTAATATTGCTATATGTTTATTGCCAAAGCCCCCAGTTTCCTGCCTACTTCCGACGGCCAAACTATAGTCCTATTACTATGGGACTTATACCATATGAATTTTGTGAGAACCTAGCTCGACAGCAAACTAGTTTTAGCCACGACGAACAAATTAAATATACAGAATTTATCTCTCAGATATATTACAGGTATTATCTATCCGGATGCTATTATATACAGGTGTCGGCACAGCTAGTCCAATCTACTTAGGCTTTTCAGAGGATGCATGGGCCAGCCTTATTCTTCTACCATACAGCTACAAAACTACTGAACTGGATTCCTACCGAAATCGAGCGACTTTTCTTTTCTACTTTAGATTAAACTTTAGTACTGACTTTCTGCTTATTGAGCAGCCCAGAATAAGTTATACTTAAGATCCTCCGCGCTTGAAACTCTGGAATAGTACCAAATCCTCATAGTAATAGTGAAAGATCCTAACATTGACTGCTTTCGATAGACACAAAAGTTTCAGATCATTAAAAAACCGGTGCTTGTTTCCAAGATCTACCATAGTGACCGGTTGCCAAGATTGTCATCTGACGAGATTGAGTTCTATTAAGGAGGCCGGTTATTTATATCTGAAGATTTCTGCTTTGGTCGATCAATAACTTCGTTCAAAGACAGATATTCAGTACACTGCGTTATAGGAGAGAAGTGTCGGATTATCATTAATAGAGCGAAGAATATGAAGGTCCAGAGGTACTGCGTGGACTATTGGCCAACCCCGCATGTTGATAGGATGGTGGGGTAGAAGAAGGCAGGCTTATTATAAGATTAAATAGGATCGACAACCTAGGGCGGCACACGGGATGGCGTCTAAATATACATTTAGTAGAAGTAGATGTGTGTTACGAGATCAGTGTAAGAATATTATGAACTTACTGTGTAGGGGTATTATCTTTATTATACGTCAGGGCGACTGATCGGCTAGCAACAAGATCCAAATCCGCTGTGGAAAAAATTTCTTCTATTTTTAATATCTTATATTCTAATAAACTGTAAGCTCCAGGTTGCAATTATGCCTAAGAGTCTAGAACGATACCCTGGTTAAAAAAGAATATGCTGGATAAAAGATAGCCAAAAACGCAAAGAGAAATCTATGTATATGCGATGAAAAACCTTCATTTGAACAAAACGCCTCATCGACAGAGTCCAAAACAGTATGAACGAGGCTGGGAAGAGAGTTTGAGGGAAGGAGGGGAATCTATTACAGAGCCCTCACTCTGCCTTCTTAGAAGCCTTGGTTCGAAGCTTCATTATGACAAACACCAAGAAATATCTACTGAGGGCGAAAATCACGCAAATTCCAGCATCTTGCCAGCTGTAGTAGTAGTAGTGAATTCCGAGGGTCTTCAGGTAATCACTCCCACGGGTATATTGATACACTTGGCATTGGGAGGTCGCCTGGGGATTAATCAGATTAATAGCAGAGTTCGTGGTTATATAATCGGCCAGGTAGTTTTTATATGTTCCGTTGGGTGGATTGAAGTAAGCATACTCCCCCGAAGCACAATTCACCTCCGTGTTCTAAATACCGAAAGTAAGCATATCTCCAAAAATATAAATAAACAGATTAAGATAGTAGAATCAGTACTTTCAGAATATATTTAACTCTGATTGCGGTACAAACGCGCCACAGAATAATATTAGGCAATTGACAATAAGGAGATTGACCAGAGCTGCAAACGTCGCGTTTGGCGTGTAGGCCGCCACAAATTGCCCAATATTAGTATAGATAAACTCATAGATTAATATAATAAAGAAGATTGCTCCAACCTTCTTAGACATATGCGGTAACTTTGTCTGGTAGTATCAACAGACAAAATATAAGACAGCACAGAGGCAAAAATAAAGAAATTCGGAAATAATAAGACCTGTAACAAAGGCTTTTTATAAATACATCTTTGACTTCTTTTCACGGGTGTCATAGATATTGCGATGTTGAATAAACAGGGGCTGAAGTTGATTAATAACTCCCGGTGTAATAAATATAAAATTGAAAATAGTAAACATCTTCAATTAAAGATCCTGAATATTATGTTTAAGATGCTAAAATAAAAAGCTGTTGAGTAACGCAGATATAATATACAGCTCCAATTTGTTGTTTACATATTTCGTGTTTCGTAACAGAGCCACATTCATCCGTTGTATAACTAATTTTATTTAAGTCTAAAAAGATATTATAAACTCTCTACCATTGTCGACTGATTCTAATAATTTAGCCGCAGCATC